GGGCTCGTCCTTCGTAGCGTCGTCGACAGAGCGCGTCACCGTTTCACGCTACGGGAAGGGTGAAAGGAGCGCAAACACGCCCTCAAGGGGTTTTAGCTGAAGAGAATAGCTGTCCTCTGTGTGAGGGGCGCCGGCTGGGAAGGGGCCGCCCGGCCGCGGGGAAGCGCGCAGGGCGGTGGTGGGGGCCGTGGGCGGACGAGGAGTTTCAGTCAGCGTCGCGGGAGACGTTGAGGGGAAGCGCCAGACGCCGCAGGGAGAACAGGAATAGTAGTAGCAGCCGTCACTGCGGTGAGGAGGGAGAGGCGCGGCCCGGAGCTGGACGGGACTGTGAGGCGCGGGAGGTGGTTACCCCTCGTGGGCTTTTGGGAAATGACAGTTATGTACGTGCTGCATGAGCCGTGCCGTGCCCTCGTGAGCGGCCGTCGCTGGTCCGTGGCACAGGCTTTGTTCACGCCGAATTAGAGTTCAGGGGCGCGGACAGAAGATGCCCCACTTCTGTTTTTCAAAAGACACCTGCTGTTATGAATGATTGGATCCTTTTACTGTTGTTGAATAAAAGGCACAAATATTTTTGTGTTCAATATATACGTTTACGTCCTTTTTGCACAGTTATTTTCACGGTTCTTCGTATCTGCCATTGACTCTGCTATTTTGCCTTATGAATTTTTTCAAACAAATAGAATTAAAACAAGTGTTTGAAGGATGGAGAGTTTATTGAAACCGGAGGATTTTTTTTTCTTTAGAAAAAATGTAAACCTCTATCTTTCTTTGCGATTTGTAGTTGCAAACTTATTAGCTCAATAGTGTGTTTACTTTTTGAGGATATTCCCAATAATTGAAAAGAGTCTGAATAAAAATAGGCACCAACTTAAGTAATTTCAGTATCATAAAATAATTCTCCAGAATTCAAGAAGTACACAATCTTTCTTTTAAAAAAATCAGGTTTTGAATAGGAAATAAATGTACACAGGCTCTGGAAAAACTAGAATTTAGATTTAGGAGCTATAACATTTCTCATCACCAGAAAGATACTCTGAACACTGTTTGGCTTTTCTCTAACTGGGGAGGTGAGCCAGCAAGAAACTGGGGGAGGAGTGCAGGGTGAGGAAATAAGGGGAGAACTTTTGTAGTCGTGTTCTTGTATCGTGCTTATCGCGGTAGTGTGTGTGCTTACTTTCATTAAACTGTTAGACCCAACACCTCAACAATGACAAAGGCCAGGCAGGACACTTGGAACGTTTTTCCCTTTCCCTGGGCTCTGTGGACTGCACAACCTCCTCTGCCTGCCACACCAGCAATTGTCCTGTGGTCAAAAGCAGCAGCTGCCACTTTACCAAACGCTGCAGGCTCTGGACAAACAAACTAGCTATTAGACAGAGTTTGCGGATCCAAAAACTACTCCCCAGACCTGCTGGGGCAAAGAGCGTCAGGCTCAGAAGCATTTCATGGCTGAGTTTGAACCATGCGGCAGCAGAGGGACCACACTAAGGTACGCAGTGCAATTAGTGTCCTTTGGGGAGGTAACTGTTCTGTCATTCTCAAAGGAAGAAGTCCCTGGCTTGGAGAGATTTATTTTGAACAGTTTGTGTTAGATGAAAAGTTTGCCTTCAGAGCAGTCCCCTGGTTTGTGACAGTCCAGGACTTGGGGACTTCTCAAAACAAAAGCAGTTGTTCCGTATGATGTTTTCCCAACTATTTGTCCAGTAACACCTTTCTATAATGAACCTGTGGCCCAGTTTTTTATTTGATCTCCTCCTGACTCTTGTGTTGGAAGCAACAGGGAAAAATTGATCCCTGTTCACCCTCTCTGTGCTGTTCGTGATTGCATAGATTTCTTAAATACTTGCTCAGTTGTTTGTTTTTGTCCACGCTGAGGAATCCTGGTCTAGTTAGTTCTTGTCTGAATGTAATCTGTTGTGTGCCACAGCTGATCTTTATTAACACATACGTGACTTGGTAGAACAGGAGAAGGTTTGGCGCAGGCGGGAGAAGAGAGGACAAGAGGGTTCATATGTGTTGGGAGGAGTGAAACTGCACAAAGTATTTAGTTTGTGCGTACTTCACGTGTTTTGGAGTAGTATAATGAATATTTCTGTTTTGTTCTCTGTTCTTCTTCTCACTCCTATCACTTGCTTCTTTTCAGCTGCCTCTTGGCTGATGTTTTCATGGAACTGTTTTAACTCCAGAATCCCTTTCCAAATAATTAGATTAAATCAGAATTCATTATTGTGTATGTAAAGTTAGAATTTTTCCGAGTATGTTACTTCACATTTATTAAGACTGAAATTCATTTTTAGCGATTTTAATTTTTACTCAGCATTATGGTATCCTTTCATACCTTTATGTGGCTGATTTTAGTACACTTCATTTCTGTTATCATTAGAAAGACTTGTCACTTCATTAATCCTACCTTTTTCTAGGTGAAGCATAAATATGTTAAAGAACATGGAACCCTGTGGGGCTCCCCTAGTCACCTACTGCCATTCAGAAAAATCAACAGCTATTTCCCTGTGTCTTGCCTATCTTCTAATCCTCTATCTGTAAGAGGATCTTCCTTCTTGTCTCACGGCAGCTTAGTTTCTTTAGGAGCTTTTGGCTGAAAACAAATAGACGGTATTAACTGGCCTCTGTCTATTGTGACTCTTTCAAAGAATTCCAATAGATTTGTGAGTCATGACTTTGCTCTGTAGAAGAGGCTCTTTTCCAGTACATATTGTACGTATTTAGAAAAGGTAAGGGGCGGGGAGGAGTACGTTTTTCTTTTGGGGAGAAATATGCTTCGAAATATGCTTAGATGGTATGTTCATCGTACCAGAAAGTTTCATCTTTAGTACAGACACCTTTTATGTCTACTGTAGAGTGTCAACTCAGTGAAGTTCTTAGCCATAGTTATTGTGCTGGAACGGACTTTTAGATAGCCTGGAACCTGCCTGGGAAGCATTTACTGTTTTAAAACACTGTTCACTGAAAAGCCAGAGTAGAAAGCAGGCTTCATTTGCTTAAGTGATTTGTGTTGTTGAGCAGAGGCACTGTAGTATTGAGCGCCAGTTGGCATTTTGCAAGCATTGAAATGATCAGGGCCCGGTATAATTCACCATCTTCCCAGAGGAAAATGGTGATTTTAAAAGGTGCAAGTGAGACTAGATCGTCGTCTGCCATGAAGGCACAGAGTTTTCCAACCAGCTAGTGATGGCAAAAAACATTACTCTTCACTTTGACTGTATGAGACTCAACATCAGTAGGAAGTGAATGGGTATTCCCATGGTACAGGCT